GAATTTGTAGACATTTTGTTCCATCCCCAAAGCTAGTTGAGTGCCTCTCCGGCTTGTTCACCCCACTGTAGCATCCACAGCTCTGTAACTCTTGCCCCCAGGCTTGTCTCGTTACTGCACCTGGCCCCGTTTCTATTTGGGGCAGGACTCTGATGAACACTGGTGTTCTGAAGGAGAGAGGTTAGTTCCAGCTCTGCCACTGACTTGCTGTGCAACTTAGGTATGTCATTTACTCTCCCAAAGCCGCTTTTCTTTTCACCTATCATTGTTGTGAGCACGGAGTGAGACAAGTGTAGAAGGAGCCGAGCTTGCAGTCTGGTGCCTAGAAGGTGCTAGGCTGGCAGGCCAGGCCAGTGTTCTTAACAGCTGGTTTGCCATGTTACTCCCGTGACTGGATGTGTCCAGGGACTTTACTCTGGCATTCAAGGCTTTCCACACAATCTCTTATTTTGGTATGTAACACAAAACTCTTGTTATTTTCAGACTAGTCTTTCCCTTCCTGCTGTCCCACCTCCTTCTTGACTCCAGACCTTGGCTTGTGTTATTCATTCTAATTATAGGGGCCACCTCTTTTCCCTGTGAGTCAAATATTGCTTTTCCCAACACCACCTATTTTGTAGGATCTAATATAGTTCTTCCCACCTGTCGCTGCTCTGATGCCTCTTCTAAGCCTCCAGTCACTTCTGCAAAGGCACGCTGATGGATTCGAGAATTCTTTCTGAACTTAAATCTTACTCTGTGTGACACCTCGCCAATTCGATTCTAAGTTTCTACAGGGCAGATTTTTTTCTTTTCTTTTCTTCTCTCCCCTCCTCTCCCCTCCCATCCTCTCCTTACTGACCTCCCAGCATCTAGCAGAATTCTTTATTTATAACCTTAGATGTAAAGGAGTGCTTTACAGAGACAAAGAGCTTTCATATCCATGAGCTAATTTGACCTTTGCAACCTCTCCATGTGGTAGCTATTATTGTTTCCATTTTACAAATGAGAAAATTGATTGTTCCATAGATAAAGGGGCTTGTCCAAGGACGGCCTGTCAGAGGTGCAGAACCAGAGCTCTGATGGCAAGTCAAGTGCTCTCGAAGGAATGAGCTCTGTCTGAACCCCAGGGTCTTTGTAACTCTGGAGGGCTGCACATCCTAACTGACATCTGCAAAGTCCCTTTTGCCATGTAGGGTTACACACGCATAGATTCTGGAAATTAGGATGTGAATGTCTTTGGGAGGCCATTATTCTGCCTACCGTAGAGTAGATTTAAGCTAAAATTTAAGAAAAAAAAATGTTCTAAAAACTAGAGCTACCTCCTTGAACGGATTGCCTCCTAAGCACATGAGTTTCTCTGGTGTGTCCAAATGAATTTTGGACAATAACACATCTGGCAGGCTATAGAAAGGATTCGCACATCAGAATGAGCTTTATATGAACCCTGTGCTCTGCTTAAATTATGAGTGTATAAATGTCTATTCTTCCACAGGACTGGGTTTTGTTGTGTGTTTTTACCATAGCCCTAATCATATTTCAGTGGACATTTAGATAGATAATCTCTGTGTCTCATTCCTTCTACTAGGTTATAAACTCTTTAGAGATTAGGTACCATGTCTTATTGCTTTTTATCCAGCACAGTAGGTCATGCAGTGGAGACTTGATACACATTTTAAAGAAATTTAACTAATTCATTAACTGAGTTAAACAGGCCGAGGCCAATATCCCAGTAGAGAGTATCTCAACTCACTTTAAAATGTAAATGCTGGCCATCAATTTAGACTCTATAGCAATCAATACATTTCATATCCAGAGTCTGAAATTATAGAAGGCTTTAGAAGTTCCAAAACCTGCTTTTCGATTGCTCAGCCATATAGTTCTAATAATTCTGGCAAAGTGCACAAAGCATTGTGTGGGATATTACATCATTTCTGGGAGCCTCTGGGATTTGCTAAATAGAAGGCACTGGGAGGATCTGCTCTGTCATTGAATGGAAAGCACCCCAAGTGAAATCATCGCCAGTATTGATCGTGTGAGTTTCTGGTGAAAGCCCAGGAGCCAATTCATAGGCTGTTGCCTTGACGCTGTGACGTGTGACAGCCACCTTCCACGGCAGTATCAGCACACGTCTGGCCGGAGGTACTGATCATTGGATCCAGAGTTGGCCTTCAGACCTCCTAGCAAGGAAGAGAAGAAATCACCTGTTTTATTTTTCCCTCTCTTGGCTTGAGAGTCCCATGGAAAGCCTATTCCTATTAATTTGTTTTCTTTGACTGTTAATATATTTGAGAAAGGATAAAAAGGATATACTGTACTAGAATAGTAAAATAAAGAGACTTCGCAAACTCACCAGAGATCTGAAGTTTGCCCAGGGCCTCAGGGACCAGTACAGCCCAGCAGTTGAATTTTATTGTATGTGTAATTTCCCCAAACGGTGCCTCCTTTGATTCTTTATAGTAAACGTGAAATTGACTTCAGATTTTGGGCCCACAACTATATTTTTAAAAGCATTTTCATCTTCTTTGGGTGATGAATGCCTTTGCAGACTGGCTAATAGGCACACGTCAGCACGTGTTTCAGTGATTCTTTCTATTTTGAATTGCTTTTTGCATGTTTTCTTTGATCCTTCCATTTTGTACTTCGAGTTGGATTACTTCTATAAAGCAAGCAGACAACTTCCCTTGATGTGGATCTTGGGGAAGTAGTACAGAGTGGTTTTTCTCCCCCACTTTTCCATTCCCAAGCAATATGCTTCAGCAATACAGGTTACCCCATAAGCTATGGGACAGATCATCCGAGTAACCCCTTGACACATTCTGAGCAGAAAGGAGCAACACACAAAGGTAAGGAGGCAAGAATGCTTTAAAGAGAAAAAAAAAAAAACAAAACATAAAACCCAGAAGCACGGTAGCTTGGGAATCCTTGAGTGCAGGGCTTACAACCTATTTATGGTTCTATCTCAGCACCTGTCTCATGTGGTGGTCCTGCTGCCATTGCTGAATTGAAATAAATGGACATTTGTTTTATTTGTTGGGAGATGTTTTCTCATAAGCATTTTGTTGGAAATCCAGGCCAAGTGATACATGCTCTTTATTTTACAAAAAAAAAAAAAAAAAATTAGGCCATATAGAAAAGTAGAAAGATATGAGCCCCCAGTCAACCTAGACCTGCCTAGAGATAGCCTGTGTTGGCACTTGTTGAACATTTTCCCTCTGCATCTGTACAGATGGGTATAGATTAGGAGACAGAAGAGGAGAAAAAAAGAGAAAGAAAGAGTGATAAATTTGACATCAGAGAAGTGAAAAACTACTCTGTGACAATGTATCATAAAGTCAAAAAATAAATGTCTAAGGGGAAAATATACAAAGAGTTCTTACAAAATATAGATGAAACGGACAACTCAGATGTATGGACAAAAGACAGGAAGAGACAATTTATAGACAATTTATAGACATAAATGGCCAATAAACATACAAAAAATAAAAAAAAAGTCACCCAGTGAGTTTTTGATTTTCACTATAGTTTTCATTAGAAGTGGATTTGGTTCTTTTTAAGCCTGTTTTTTTCTTAAAGCTTTTTTTGATTCCTTCTTTTATATCTTTCATCATTTTAAACATATTTTATATTCTCCATTAGAAATTCTTGGAGCTTAATCCCGTCCCACATTGTGTCTGCTATATCATGATGGATTATATTTTGAATTTATTAATATTTTGAGTTCACCTTCAACAGAGGGTTTTTAGGAATACTATTGTGGGACGTGGGCTATAGACATGTTTCCCGGGAATAGGTTTTTGTTTTCTTTTGCCATGTGTTCATGGCAAATTTTAAGTTAATTTCTTAGCATGCGTGTTCCCAGAACATGTATATGACATAGAGGACAACTTCAAACTTAAAGGACTGTGTAATGCATGTCCACCGGTACCCAGTGTCAGGGGCAGCTTTACTCCCCACCCCAAACCCAGATCAAGAGAGACTAACTTTCTTTTCTTGATGATACTGGTAGGCAGCTAAAATAATGTATGTGCGTGTGTTTTTTCCTGGCTCTTAAAAGATTTCCCTTACTTTCTTGCAAGCTCAGAAAGAATGTTTGTTCTGTTTTATTTAGAATTCTAGGAATTCAGTAGCAAAGGGTTTTGGGGAAACTAAGTGTGCTGTGTTGCCAGAACTAGAAGTCCAGGGAAAGTCATTTCCCTATATTGAAAATAGATCACGTAGTCACCATTATCACTAATGGGGAACGATTTCAATATGCTATTTATTTGCAATGGATTTTAGAATGTAAAATGTTTGGAGATTAAAAATCTATGAAATTACTTCATTCTTTTAAACTACTTGGGAACTGTTCTTTCTAAATTTGCTTTGGGAATTTCTAGTCCATGTCCATCAAATAACAAATTCTGTACTGGAACAGAATTTGAACAGAATCTTGAACCCAGTGAGTGTTGAATAATAGAAACAGAGGCTATTTGTATATTTGTCATAGCTCTTTTAGGAACAAGTAACAGAAACTCAACTCCAGTTGGCTTAAGTAAAAGAGGATATTTATTGACTCAGCTGAAAAATCGTGGGGTTGCTCAAGTATGGACAGATTCACATGCTCAGAAAGTGTAATTAGAGTCAGTCTCTTTTAATCTTTTGGTTCTACTTTCTTTTGTGTTGGCTTCATTGTTATTTGAACTCTGCCCTTATGGGTGGCAAGGTATTTTCCAACAGCCTCAGTTAGAGAAGATAGCAGATCCTCTTTACAGCTTGTCTAGCAGGTAACCTGGGACTGTGGCTTATTGGCCTTGGCATCTGCCCATCCCTGACCAGTCCACCCGGCCGAGGAGTGACTGGCCTCGCCCCTGGAGTTAGGATCAGCTTTGGTCCGATTACATAGGCTGAGAATGGAGGAGGGTAGTTCTCTGAGAGGAAAATCGGGGCACTGTCACCAGAAAAGAAGGGGATGGGCAAGGCACCACAAATGTGCCCCATAATCTGTCTAATGTCTTGTTTGTGTTTGCTGTTCCTTTCAGGACAGTGTTGAATTTAGAAACATCTGCAGTCATTTGGCTCTACAGATTGAAGGACAGCAGTTTGACAGAGACTTGAATGCTGCCCACCAGTGTTTGAAGACAATAGTCAAGAAGCTGATTCAGTCACTTGCTAATCTCCCTTCAGATGTTCACGTGGTAGCCTGTGCTTCCTTGAGACAGATTTTACAGAATCTCCCAGACATCTGAGTGTTAAAGACATCGGGATTTAAACCACAGCTAGTGCTGTTAAGAGAACTGGATACCTTCCCTTCCTAATTGAATCAGCAGACAATAGATGTTTTTATTTCCAAAAAAGAGAGACTTAATGACACATGGAATAGTCTGACCAGTGTCATCCGTCGCTTTCAGGATTATCGCACGTTAGTGAAAATTTTTTTAAAGCAGTTAGTTCACGTTTTTTAGTATGTTGGTTTATTTGCTGACTTTTTGATTGAAATATATTCTACTTTGTGTAACTTATTTGATTACATATGTATATATTTATCAATTCATAGTATTAGTTTTGGTTGAATGATACCTTAATCTATATTCATGTTAATGTAGGCCTATAAGGTTTAAAATGGCTATTTATATGGTTAAAGCTTGATGGTTCTTAAAATTATCTTAAATAAATGGGCTATTTGATAATTGCTGTGTTACTTACTGGACACTTCATTTTATATTATGAGGATGAGCTTTAGTTGTAGGGCCACATGTGTCAGTAGTTAGGAATTCTAATTCTGGCATTAATAACCTACTGTTGGGCAGGAAAAGAGTTGCTTCTAAACCTTGTGCTTTCATTTACTGGTTTATAAATTTAAAATGATAATGAGCTATCAAGTACCAAGGATATATGATCTGTAAATACAAAGTACTGTATTATTAAAGCCTCACATGGAAAAATCTAGCTCTTCTTGCTGTCTCTAAATGTTCTGATGGAAGTAGGAAATGCTTGTGAAAAAAAGGAGGGAGCGTATATACTGGCAGGTTTCCTTAACCATTTAGAGCTGGAGAAAGAGAGGGTGATTCCTTCTTCCTTCTTCCTTCTCCCCTCTTCCCTCTTCCCTCTTCTTCTTCTTCTTCCTCTTCCTCCTCCTCCTCCTCCTCCTCCCTTTTCTAGAGGTTCTCTGATTGAGAACCAAAGTAACATGAAATGCTATTTTCCGTTAAAATTTTAATAGAAACAGAATCAGATTTAGAAAAAAATGATTACAGTGTATATGTGCAGCTCGTTTTCAGAAAGAATTATAAACTGAGTCTGTGTGGTGAGAGTATATCTACTATTTTAAAAAGTATTAATAGTAATTAAAGTCTTTTTAATCTCATCTAAGTTTAGTTGGTTCCAAATGTTTTCTTCCAGAGTTTGAGAATGAAAGGTACATACATTGTTTCTCTTTGTATGTAACTGACCATTTCCACAGAGGAGAATTAAGTAAATGAGACTGAATTCAGGAGGAGAGGTGGATGTGTGTGTGTGTGTGTGTGTGTGTGTGTGTGTGTAGGGGCAAGATAGACCACAAAGAGCATTTATTTCTTGGGAATAATATTTGGCACTTTGTTTTCCCACTCCTAGGAAACATTGCATTCTGGAAGCATGACTTTATTTTATGTTGCAGTCTGCTATAGTCTGGAGATGTCTGTCCTCTAAATCTCATGTTGACATGTGATCCCCAATGTTGGAGGTGGGGTTCCCTGGGAGGTGTCTGGGTCGTGGGGCGGAACGCTCATGAATGGCCTTTTGCTGTCCTCGAGGTAATGGTGAGTTCTCGCTCTGAGTTCCCACAAGAGTTCTCTTAAGAGCTGGTTGTTGAAAAGGCATCTTCTCCCCATCTCTTGCCCCCTCTCTCGCCATGGGAGCTCCCCATGCTGGTTCCCCTCCACCCTCTGCCAGGGCTGGAAGCAGCCTGGAGCCCTCACCAGAAGCAGATGCTGGCACCATGCTTCTTGTACAGCCCGCAGAACTGTGAGCCACATAAACCTCTATTCTTTATAAATTACTCAGCCTCAGGTATTCTTTTATAGCAAGCAAACAGACTAAGACAAGGTCTTTCTTTCCCCAGGGAAATTATCCTGGTATTTTTCTTTAAAGATCCATCATTATTAATAGCCTACCTACCCTGTTTGCAATGAATGGTCCTCTCAATAAATATTAAGGTTTGTTTTTTCACTGTTACTATTAATACAAGAAATATTGACCATTTTTGCTTTTCTGTTTGTGCTTGTGCTTTTTCCTCACTTTGTGCCATGTTTCCCACAGACTGATTAAAATCCTACTCATCCTTCAAGGCCTGATTTACCCACCACCCCCTCCTTAAACCCTCCTGGGTCATCCTAGTCAAAGGTGAAATCCTCCTCTTCTTAACTTGAATAGAACATATTCTGTGCTACTTCTCTCGCATTTATCATCTTAATACCTTGGCTGTCGGTAAATCTGCTATCAAGATCAGCTTGCTAAGGGGTGGAATTATCTAGACATCTTTGTATATTGCATAACATCTATGGTTCTTACAGTTGTGTGACCCTACTAGAACTTCCATTGCCTCTCCCACTTCTTCACACCCCTCCCTCTTCCCAGTCTAACTTCTGTGGCTTTTGTTCTATGGTCAATCTGTATAATCGCTTGGCTGTACATGCTACCAATTCCCTTCCCCTTTCTCCTTTGTTCGAATGCTGCTTGTAAAACTCTATTCCTGGTCAATTTCTATTCCTCTGCCTACACATGGTCAAGTCCAGCCCTCTGTCTGTACATGAGTTCTGAATGTGTCTGGAGAACACTCATATAGTGCCTTGAGCAATGTGCCTTGATCACTTGTATGAGGGCAGGTTGTGGATGTTTTTCATAATTCTGAAAAGAAGTTGAATCATTTGATATTTGATAATATTTCACCTTCCCATTCCCTTTGACTCTTATTTTTAGATGATCCATAACAATGGATTTCTGGGTGGTAGAAACCCTCCAGAAACAGAGAAAAGTAGGGGCCATGCTGGGGACCTTCTCAGCAGAGCGGGATACTTGAACGACAAAATGGCACCTGTACTCTTCTCTTGTCCTTAGATGCTCTCCTCACTGCCTACTCTACTCTTCTGGGAGCTCCAAGAGCTCCCAGATCAGCCTGATCCTACGTCCTTTCAACTGCATGTCTCACACTGATTCACCAGCTATCTTTGGGTTCCTTTGGCTGTGCTCCATTTTGTTTTGCATCTTCAGAATCAACCTTTTTTCCTCCATTCAAATGCTCTGCTATTGTTCTAACTGACACAGTTTCTTCCCAAAGTGGATTAGTTTTCTTGATTGAAATGAAGGCGTTTGGAGGGTAGAAATCCATTTGGATACTTGCTTCAGACAGAATGTTAGAATCAAGTCCTTGCAAGAATCAAGTCCTTCGTGTCTTAAAATTCCCTCCAACAGTTGGCCCCATTTCCCATTTTTCTTCATGTTCTGGTGCCAGATCCTTAGGCAATAAATCTATCGAAGAGGAGTATAAATCCTGTGCATCTGTGAATTCAAGCCACATTTAATTCAGCAGAACTTCAACTAAGAAGTGTTCCGTATCATCTGGGTGTCCTCATCAGGGACCTCAGCGTTCCATTCTACTGCCAAATCACCACAGTCCTGGTTTCACTTAGCTACGTGCCAGAACCAAAGGTCTGGGCTGTCCTATGTATTCCAGAGAGCTTTACCTTTGTTGGAGGTGACTTGTTTACTGCTATGCTAAATAGGAATGATATTAAAGTTGACTATAGTTTGTAAATTTCTTGTGGAAAAATTCATTTCATATCTGCTCCATGCTTACAGTCGTAAGTCAGGAGACACTTCCAAGGTTGGCAGAAATCTCTCCTCTGGCACAGAAGTAGCACTAATTTGTTTCCCTTGCCTTGGTGAAGACTTTGATAATAATCATGGCTTCACTTTCTTTTTCCTTAAAAAAGCATTACAAAATGCCTGTGGAACATAAGGGTATCTGGCAGAAAAACAAATTCACAGGGATCCTAGAAAAAGTTGCAGAAAACAGTGTTGGATTAAGTTACTACAAAGAGGAAAGAGGAGATTCTGCAAAGGTCTCTGTCCGCTTCACCTGTACTCCAGCTCAGAATGGACCTGAAGAGTAAAAGAGGACAGCATAAGCATGGAACACTCTGTGTGTGTGTGTGTGTGTGTGTGTGTGTGTGTGTGTGTGCACGTGTCGTGTCTGGGGCAGAGGGAGGGAGGATAAGGGGAGGAAGTACACTGAGCCTGGCGCTGTAATTCCAAACATGAAAAGCAGTGGGATAATTTGGAAAATTAATGTCCTTGGAGATATCCACAGACTCACTCTAAAGAGTTCATCAAATGTGTTTGTTGATTTGTTCAAATGAAAAATATCGGGCTTCTCACACGTGGCACTTTTCATGCCATCTCAAAATGGTTGGGAAGTGAAAAAGTGACAGCTGTTTTATACACAATCTCATTAAACCCTCCACAATTGTTTTTGATACCCTTTTGTCTCTCAGTCTTCAGTCTTTCTTTCTTTTTTTTTTGAGACAAGGTCTCGCTCTGTCACCCTGGGTAGAGTGCAGTGGCGCTATCATAGCTCACTGCAACCCCAAGCTCCTGGGCTCAAGCGATTACTCCTACCTGAGCCTCCTGAGTAGCTGGGACTACAGGTGCGTGCCACCACACCTGACTAATTTTTTCTATTTTTGGTAGAGACGGGGTCTCGCTTTTGCTCAAGCTGGTCTCAAACTCCTGCTCTGAAGCAATCTTCTTGCCTCAGTCTGCCAGAGTGCTAGGATTACAGGCGTGAGCCTTGGCACCTGGCCCAGTCTTCAATCTTATCTCACCCCTTTCTGTGTCTTGAACCATCTTCTACAGAATTGTGACAAGGGCATTTATAAGGCTATTAATTGCATTCTGAATTTTTGTGTATCTACATATTCTTTTATACATAAATAAAGTTAACAGATGTTCATTTCTGTTTCTTTTCCCTCGATTTTTTTTTTATCTATTCCTTTCCCTCTATTCCAGTCTTAGACGACATGGTACTTGTTCGACACCTATTTCCTGCGTAACTCAGAATTGAACTACATGTGTATGTAGCAGGAATACTGTTCACACTCACATTGGATGAACGGTCATACCCAGAGGGAATAGGAATAAAGCTCTTCTATCCATTTTCTTGCCTCATAGCAATTTTAATTAAAGGACAAAAAGGGAAAGAATGAGGTAAACCTTGTTAATGTAATTGCCCTCACACTTTTGCTTAATTAAATTTAAATGGTTACTATGATCCCTATATTACCCTATTTATAAATTCTATATTTTTTGTAGCCACCTCGAGAATATTTCCTGTTCTCAATACTGAATTTCTGAATTTTTCATTAAAAAAGTGGGTAGCTTTGCTGTTTAATAAGATCAGGAGCTCTGAAGTTAATGGGATTGCAATTACTGCACTGCCATGAGCTTACACTGAATACTGTTTTGCTCCTGTTCTCTGGGTCTTGTTTTCTCTGGAGGAAATGTTGCACCATTAAATCATGAAACATTCACAAGTTCATGTGCAGCCCAAGTGGGCCCAGGGGACAGTCTACTTCAAATTGACCCAGAGCATCTATAAACACACATTCCTACCTTACTTGGGCCTA